AGAGTGATGAAGAGTGATGAAGAGTGATGAAGAGTGATGAAGAGTGATGAAGAGTGATGAAGAGTATTATTCATTTCAAGGCATTAGAGGATATCAACTCGCCGCGCTTTCCTCCTCAATGTGAGATATTAATGTCTTCGCAAATTCCTCAAATCGAGAGTATGACCAGCAGTCCCTGTACCGCTCAACAAGCGGCCTGTTGTCGACGGACTCCGGCTGTTGAGCCTGTGTAGCCCCATCTTCCTCATCGGAGTCACTATCAACAACCATCTTCCCTTCAACCAGTTCGCCGAACTTGACATCCACAGGCACAGTACCTAAAAATCTGATCCCCAGTTCCTCCGCCATGACCTTACCTCCACCACTGGAGAATAGATTGCTCACTTCCCCACAACAAGGACATGTGTAACCGGACATATTCTCAATCACACCCAGCGCGGGGATCTGCGTCTTCACGCAGAAATTGACCTCTTTGCGCACATCAGACGTCGCAACGGCCTGGGGAGTCGTCACAAGCACCGCACCCGCCAAACGCGGCCGGCCCGTAGACGCCACAGCCGGGTCCGTCGAAGCCAGCGTCAACAGCTGCTCCGCCAACGCTATATGCTCATCGCTCGTGCCGGGCGGGGTATCCACGAGCAGATAATCCGTGGGACCCCAGGAAACGTCCGATAGAAACTGGCGGATCATAGCGGTTTTCTTGGGCCCACGCCAGATCACCGCGTCTCCTCGATCACGTAGGAGGAAACCCAGAGACATGCACCGCAATGCGCCCCGCGGTGGTGCGCCATCTTGTGCTGTGTTTGCCGGCGGGTGTACCCATACGGGGAGCCAGCCGCGCGGGGTCTGTGTGATCTTTGCGTCTTCGAGTCCGACTAGGCGGGGGATGGATGGGCCTGTTAGATCGATGTCGAGGATACCGACGGATTTACCCTGAAGAGAGAGTGCGAGGGCGAGTTGTAAGGTGACGGAAGATTTGCCGACGCCACCTTTGCCGGAGAGGACCTTTACATATTCGCCGAGCGTCAGTGACAATTCCCGAAGAAGTCGTTCAAAGCAGAAGCAATTCAGATTCAGTCAAAACAGCCTGTATTGCCCCAGTATGGCTCATGGATACCTCTACTGCTCATCCCTCATAGGCGAGGAATCGTTATCGATAAGATGCGATGAGGGGTTTGTGCTGGACAGGAAGAAATGACATGGGAAAACGCTACTCACCAGCACAATGTTCTTGACTCCGTCGAGAGGCATTTCTCGCCGGCTATCTGACAATTTTGAAGGTGTGAGACTTCAATTTCTACTCGGAGACAGAGGAAAAGGTGATGGCGAAACGGCCGATTTCGCAGTTCACTTACTTTTTCTGCGTCATCCCGCCATGTGGGGAACACTGCTTATCAATCCGGAGATTCGTTTTAACCTATTTACCTCTTACGAGAGGTATGTCGTCTATAGATAAGATATCGTCGACTCGACTACAAGCTGCAATGGATAGGAAAAAGACATTAGTTCTAAAGTCCACGTGCGCAGGAACGTTCGTGATATGCGAGTCGTCCTTGACCAGAATTCCTATTTACTCGTCCATATCGGGATTACATAAATCGTGTCATTGGCTCAAATTCTGTCAGGAGATCACAATATGATTCCCTGCAAGAGAAGTGTCTCTTTTCTATGGGTTGAGGTGGACACCAGATCTATCAGGAGCCATAACTTCCACAACAGCAGCTTACTGCCACTTCTGGACGACCACACCACCTCGCTTGAACTCAGGTAGATCACCAAGGACAGCAGATTTGTCCGTAAGGTCCTTATTCGGGAACGTGGTCATCAACACCCAGGGACGGCTCTGGCTGGATGGGCTGGCGGCGGAAACGAACTGATAGACGTCCCCAATGGTATGCGAGGTATTGAATCGAGATGTTAGGCGAGTTCCATCACCAAGTCGGATTTGTAGGGTCACGATCGGCTGCGACTCATCCACGTCAGGCTTGACTGACTCTGCGCTTGGCTGGCTAGGTGCGGGAGCCTCAGAAGGGGCTTGGCTTCTGATGGCCGGAGTCGGGCTGCCGAGTCGTTGCCCTGTTCCGGAGAAAGGCTTGTATTTCGGCTTAGGCTTGACATATTTCTCCTCATGCTGCTTGATCTCGACATCGACTTCTTGACCTGGTTGTACATTCATGATCGATAGCGGGGCACGGCCCTGTCGGATGCCATCAAGAATTTCCGCATTTCGTGGGTCATCCGAACGGAAGAGATCGCCGTCATCGACAGAGAATCCATCCGCCCAAAAGTGAAGCGTTCTTTGTACTCGTTGGGGTCTTTGTAGTGTAGGCGCACTCGGGCTTTCTATGACCCGGCTGGGGGCGTCGTCCCCGCCAAGAGTGCGTGCAGTGCCGGTAAAGTGGGATCGTCTCGTTTGGGGTTCATCAGAAGACGGCAGCTGAGTTCTATACGTAGTCGTCAGATATTCTGTCAAACTTTGACCATAATCACGTAAGACAAAGACTCACTTTCTGGCCTTCTCGATGATCTTTCTCTTGAGGTCATCCGGGTTCTGCACAGCCAGACCTGACTTCTCACCACCAGCAAAGAAATCTTGATTCTCTGTGTCATCTTCATCGGACGAATCGCCGCCTCCAGATGCAAAATCACCGAGCGTTGCGAATCTCTTCTTAGAGGTCGGTTTGCGCGATGAAGAGGAAGACTGCTGCGGTGTAGCAGTTCCGGACTGGGAAGAGCTGCCGCCTAGTGACCGACCTGCTGATGCAGCTAAATCTGCTCCTCCAAGAGACCGACCACCAACTGTGTTTGCACCTTGCATGGCTTCGTCTTGTTCCGCGAAGAATTCTGTCACCGCTGCCTCGATATCCCACCCATTGGCTGCCAGGTACTCTTGCGCCTTTGAATATAGTTGTCAGCGAAACAGTTCCTCAGACATCACACGGGATCAGCGCGAAGGAATTACCTCTGCAGGACGCGTGCCTGTCATTGCACAGAACTGAGAAACCACCTCATCGTTCTCGGCGGGGTTACGCTCCATCTTGATAGGATATGAGTTGACAGCTCGGTTCAGTTATCGAGCGCTGAGTTTGGGATAAAGAAAGGTGTAGCCTCTGAAGAGCACCGGACTGAGATATTGAAAGCAGTGTGAGATGAATGTGTGACCGGGGAAAAAGGAATTAGTGAATGCCAAACTATCACTGGACTCCGATTTCAGTGAGGGACAAACACCGCGCTGATGAGGATACGTCACTGTTGCCTGATTGGTCATCCGGACGAAGAGTTCTCCCGGTGTACGCAGTAGATGTTGATGCCTCAAGTGCTTGATTACTTACAATCTGTGACTTGCACTACTCGAGCTATCGAATTTGGATCTTAGATATTAGCATAATTTGCGACTTCTGTACCTACTGCATGTATATTTGTCCCCTATACCTCTGGTAGCATCGTCTCTACTCGAAATATGGTCGGTTCATGAAGCTCCGCCTATTGGCAGGGAACACTACTATTGTTATTACCTGTACTATCAACAAAAACAAGAGGCTGTTGGCCGTCAGCAAAGTACCCTAATCTTACAAAACTGCATCTAGTGCAAATATGTTAGATATTAAATAAGTCCCTATTATCGGGATTTAATTTGAGCTAGAAATATGGGAAGAGGAAGTCCTCCGTCGCTGGCTTTTGACCGACATTAATATTGCGTAACCCGGTACTATTCTCGCTTACATAACGATTTGGCTTCAGGTGCAGGCGATGCAGCTTCCTTGATCATCTAGCTGCGACAACTACACCATCTCGCCCATCCGGTTTTTCATGCAAGGTACAAAGAGATATTGATCGGGTACTGGAGAATCAAGCTGTGCCAGGTATATCCTCGATAGTCGCCCGATTTCTACCGTCTACGAGCTCCTGTTGCTTCGATTCCCTTCAACCGGCGTTCTTCTCCCCGCAGCATGGCCGACGAGCACTCCCACTCAAGGGTCGAGCTTTACGACTCGGGTCTGACGGTTCCCTCAGACTCGGAAATCTACTCTGCCAATCATGAAGCTTCATCGCCTATGTCGGCATCTAGTTCGCCCTTGATTCTGTACAAGCCTCCGTCGATCTGGGGCATCTTGCGGGGGGCGGCGATCAATTTGATCCTCCCTTTTGTCAACGGGTTGATGCTGGGATTTGGAGAATTGTTTGCACATGAGGCTGCTTTTCGCCTTGGCTGGTCTAACACAAAGGTACATTCCATGAAATCGCTTTGAGGGGTACAGTATCTGTCTCCCTACGATTATCCGCCAATGCACATTGATTCATCTCCAACGGAACTGGACTGATCATTGTCTCGTCTAGATTTTCCCTACTTATCGACGGTCAAGGCCCATGGGACCGGGCATGGAGATTCGCGACCTTCCATCGAGGCGCCAGCCTAGAGCCGGAAGTCTGCAAGATACTACATCATTGGAGTGATTGCGCGCCTTCAGGCACCAAATATAGATTTCTCTCTGCGCAAATTCTTGATATCCAATGTTCGTGGTCCATTAGTCGATTGTTCATTTTTCTGTCTTCAGCATGGGCTGCGTATATGTGTACATAGATTCCTAAAGGCACCAGCAGTAGGTCAGATTGGACGGCGTCGGGCGAAGCAATTCGACTTCTGCATATCGAAGACACGGTCCATCTTTTGCTGTGCGTTGCGGGTGTGGAATTATTCATCCAAATTAAACGATATTCTACACGGACGATAATCCTCTTCCTCTCTTGTTGCCCAGGTAGTATTCGGACGTATATTGATATCAGGGTCAGGAACAAACTCCGGCCGCCCGGCAGAAAACAAGTCTTGGCGCGAAAAAGTCCAATCTCCGTGAGTCGGCAGCGGATATAGCCGTTGTTTTTTCACTCTAAAACGCCGTCGCTCGTGAACCACTAGGTATCTCCTGCGGCCAAATATCACAATGCTGGCAGGGGCTGGTTTGAAGGGGCGTGGTGGGATTCCCACCATTGCTCGACAACATTTGACTGCTTTCCCTCGCTCCAGCCGATCGGTTTGTCCCCCGATATCCTTTTCTCCGCCGGCAAGCAAGTAGACGTATGGCTGACTTGACCCGGTATACTGCAGATTTCTTCGTTTAGACCGCAGAGCTCAAGATTCCCTGTACGCTATGGAGGGCCGACCCAGACACTTTCCGGGAAAATATCATGGAAGCCCGCTGCCTCCATACCCGGAGTCATCTCCGCAAGATTCAAATCGACATCTTCCGCAACCGATGCCACTGCGAGCGAGCACTTGTCGGACGCTCCTACCGATATGGGTGTAGCTGACCTTTCTGATCTGTCTGCCGCTGACCTCAGCTCGATCCCCGAGCACATCGGATACCTCAAAGACCTAGGGCTCGACTACGGCTGGGGCCCGTCCTCAATCATTCAATTTTTCGTTGAACATATCCACATGTGGGGAGGCTTGCCCTGGTGGGCAAGTATCGTGGGAACCGGTCTTCTCCTCCGATTAGCACTTCTGTATCCTACGCTGGGCGCCGTGGACACCTCGACCAAAATGCTGAATATCAAGCCCATCACGGAACCTCTGCGTCAGCAGATGATTATGCGCGGAAAGGATGGCAACCAAGTAGAAATGTTGAAATTACGAGCTGAAATCCAGAAGCTTCACCAGGAGCAAGGCATCGTGGCATGGAAGTCCTTCATTCCCATGCTTCAGATTCCCTTTGGTTTCGGTTGCTACAGAGTCGTCAAGGGTATGGCAGCCTTGCCAGTGCCCGGGCTGGCCCTGGAATCCGTTGCTTGGCTGAAGGATCTTACCGTTGCCGACCCATACTTCATACTCCCCGCTGCGTCCTCTTTGTTCATGTACCTGAGCATCCGGGTAAGTCGACGTTCATCCTTTGGGCTACTGGCTTGGTTACTGACTGTGAATGTCTTCATCCTTGTGTAGAAAGGAGGCGAAAATGGCGTGAACCAGCTCCAAGGCACAACGTTAGGCAGGCTCCTCATGTTTGGGTTGCCTGCCCTCTCCTTTGTCTTCATGGCTTTCTTCCCCAGCGCCCTTCAGCTCTATTTCGTGACGACTGGTCTATTTGGTCTGGGCCAAGCCTACCTTCTCGGCTCCGATACCTTCAGAAAATCGATGAACATCGCCATCCCTGTAAGGCAGCCTAAAAACGGTCAGTCCCCGGGTCATGATGCTTCGCAGCAGAGCAAGTCGATCCGCACGCTTCGTGAGCATCTGGAGGCCGAAAGAGCCAAGATGATTCAGGAAGAGCACAAGTCTCCTGATAGTATGGAGATTAGTTTTATTGATCGCGCCTTGAACAACCTGAAGGAAGCCAAAGAGAACATCAAGCGTGAAACGACGGAGAAATTGGACGCCGTTCGTGGTCAGGCCCCCGTGAAGAACGCGGATGGGACTATCGCTGAGCCTCCTCGACTTGGCGAGAAGGATCTCAAGTTGGCAGCCGACTACGAGAGGAGAAGGAAGGAGGAAGAGGATTGGAAGCGGGAGGAGAGGAATCATGCTCGCCGCGAGGCTCACCTGAAGGCCTTGGAGCTCGAAAGAGAAAAGGCACGCTCAGCGTTTAAGGTCAAGCAAAGGTGAGCATCGGGGTAATTCTTCTCTCTTGGTTTTGCTGTATCAGCTGTGACGGTCCATCTGCAACTTGTACAATATGAGGCGCTTAATCTTCTTGTATTTTCTCCTACGGTAAAGGATCTTTTCCTTGGAATACAGTATCTCTTCATTCGTTATCCTAAAGAGGCTGCTTTGACAGCAATTCTGCGTTGCAGTCGACAACAGTGACGAGAGCTTCGGATTCAACATCCAGCAACGGGCAGCCATCCTCCATTCTGAAATCACACGAGATATCACAAAGGCCAATGCCAATATGCTCACCTGAGACAGGCTGGAAAAGCTCGTCAAAATGTGCAAGAGCAGAACGACTCAACCAAGAAACAGTGGCTGTTCCCTAGAAGACAAGATCAACGACCACGCCTATTCAAGGTTTTCATCTCCAACGGGCTTGGGCTCATGCTCATGCTCATGCTCTTCCGACGAGGTCTCAGTCTGTGCGAGTTCCGAAGCAGCCTCAACCCGAGCAAGTCTTTTCTATGTATTGTCAATGAACGCCTTTTGCAAAGCTGTGGTGCCAGATCCCTACCTCGATGATGAACTTGATCTGTGGGTAGAAGACCTGGTAATCGTGTTCGGCGCTCATCTCATAGGGAGTTAGCCCTGGATCCTGTCAGATTCTCGATAATCGTGGCTGTATACGTACCGGGATCAGAACGTCTTTGAAGCTGTCCAGAGTGAGGAGATCACCCAGCTCTTGGTAATATCTCACCATTCCGTCTCGGAAGGACTTGAGGCGTTTGGTACCTTCATCAAAGGTCATGGGGTTTTGCATGGTGCGCTTTTCAAGCGTGTCTTGAGTTGCGTACAGCTGAAAAGCTGACACGATAGTGAAGGTCTAGACGATCTCGAGTCAATGTCTGCTAATGGGAAAGTGAAGCAAGGCGAATGGGATGTTACAGAGCCAATGGTCACGGGTAACTCACTTCGTGCAGCAGAGTGAAGTCCTCGGAGCAGTGTGGCCATCCATCAATGATGAAGGTAGTCGCTCCAAACTCCATGTGTCTCTGGATGTCCATTTTCAGCAGACGAAACAGCAATTCGGCCGGCACAGATCCCTCTGTCTCAATGGCCTGGACAACCGCCAGCCAAGCGATGTACGGTCCTGTCTCCCCCAGACGCTCGATCGTTTGATCGGGACAAATGTGAATGAATCCAAGCTCGGCGGCCACGTTTGCTGCGGCAGTGCTCTTTCCCGCAGCTGGGGGGCCTATGAAGATACAATTAAATTAGTCGACCTGACTCGGAAGGGATTTCTCTTGAGCCTACGCTTTGGTATGGAAACTTACCGAACAGAAGAATGAGCCTTGCACTCTTGACGTCCACGTTGTCACTCGGAGCGGCGTCGCTTGGGACCTCGACCGGGATGAGAATGCCTCCTCGGCGGTACGTTTCTTCATCGTACGTCCAAGTGTCTCCATTCTTCGAGTTAAGCTCTGGCAGAGGACGTTCCACGCGCTGGACATGGGTTCTTTTGGTCCACGAAGTGCCATTCTCTTCACTCTGGCTCTGGGTTGGTTCCTCTATCTCATGGATTTCCTCAATCTTGTCAGACATTTTGGATAGAGTGCAACAGGCAAATACAGCACGACAAAGAAGAAGACAAAGAAAAAGGATGATTCCAAGTCAAAGGCCTCTTTGCATGTATTGAGCGTGCAAGAATCCAAAGAGACAAGTACGGCATCCAGGAGGAGGAAATGAAGATGAATGAACAGTGCAGGCTTGGACGTCTGATTCTCTCATTTTCACCATGAAAGAAAAACCTTCACTACCATTGGGAACCGGCAAATCAGGCGAGACGATTTCGCTGAGTCGTTGTATGCCCATATCGCATCGTCAGGCAACGAGCGTGACCGTTACGCCGAGCCCAAAGGCTATTCTCCCACAACAAACGATGTGTTCTGATAGCATCGGAGAGAAAGACTGCTACCCTTCTCCCTGAGCAGTCATCACTACAGCATAGCAGCGTGCAAATCCTTATCCTAAGCAATCAGTCCTGTGAGCATCATCACGACTTCGGCTTAAGCCATCATACCAAAGCAGACTCACACATATTTCTTCAAGGTAAGTGAGCAAGACACCATCCATCCAGCCTCAGCTCTGTAAGAGAGAGAGAGACTGACCAAACAAGCACAGACACAATGAATAAAACATCCACCGAGCTAATCGCTCTCAAATCCCCCATGACCAAACACGCCAGCCTGGTCTTCTTCCTCCACACAGCCGCCAAGATCATCATTCTCCTCGCTATCGTGGATGTACTCAGAGTGCTCATCCGTCAGGTGCAGGTCTACCTCGATCAGCACGCTCGCGAGCACAACGAGATCCACGGCCCGCAGAGAGTTCGTCTTGTCCGTCGCCGTCGCCGCTTCGACGATGATATTCATGGATTTCCTTTCTAGATCTGGGCTGGCAGTGGCTCGTTGCGTCGTGCTAGGTAAGTCGACTATGTCTTGGGTAGAGGAGGCCTTTAGCTGATTGTGTTGAGGATAGGTTGATCGACCGACACTACTGGGTTGTGGTCTTTCGGGGAGGATGGTTTCGTGAGTAAGGAAATGTTGCAGGTTGCAGATGGGTATCAACCGTTTAGGGAGCTTGGAGGACAATGTCGCTATCAGGTTAGAGATAAATGCAAGCATATGCACGGTCGAGGAAGAATAATTCAATTGTCTGTAGTGTACCTGTCTTTCGGGACGAGCCAGTCCTTTAACGGCGGGGACAGTAGCCCTAAGCACGCTTACATGATTAATGATGAACACCATGCCGTCCGAGGGATCATTACAATATATTAGAGTATGTCTATATACAACCGAAGTGCTTTGATCATGTCATCATTGTCAAAAAGTAAGAGAGATTGAGAAAGGCGTACTATCGGAAGATTCGTCTTCCTCCAGCACTTCCCGCATTCCAGGTGACTGATCCCCTCACTCCCAAGTTGCCCATACTCAACCCCGAGAAGCCGACGCCGCCGCCCTCGCCATCACGCTTGTACCGTCGTAATGCCTCGCGAAGATGAGAAGGGAGGAGCTGGCCCCGGTGAGGATTAGGCGGCGGTTTGAATTCCCTTTTCGGTCGTGCTGGGGGGTGTTGCTGTTCTTGCTGCTGCTGCGGAAGACCAGATAGAGATGGCGTGGACGGTTGCGAAGCGTGCTGTTGCGGCATCGGAGATGACGATGAAGGAGGGATTGGGGTTGAGCGATTGCTGTCCGAGTGCTCCCTCTTGACCGACGGCTGCGGTGGGCTCTGTCCCTGACCCCCCGTCGCCGGCGTAGCGGATGCCGCTGCCTTCGCCGCTGCTTCAGCTGCCCTGGCCTCAGCCTCGGCCTCTTCGGCGTCAAAGGCAGCGCGCGCAGCCTGATCATGCGCAATAGCCCACTCAGCCTGAACGGTCCTTGCCTTCTCGATGATCTCGCCCGCAAAGACCTTGGTAAAGCCGTTGATGGTTGTCACAACACTGGCGGGAACAGATTGGGACAGCGCGTGGTTGACAATTCGCCGCAGAGTCTCCTTGCGCAGCTTGGCCCGTTTGAACAAATCGTATCGCTCCGACTGAATAGGATTGAACGCATCCACCAGTAAACTTTGTTGTAGGAATCCAACGTCAGCCTTCCGAAGCACAGAGTGTCAGTAACAGGACAGAAAACATACGCAAGATTCTTTTTCTCGGCCTCCGTATCCGTCACCCCTTCCTCACCCCTCAGCAGTTCACCCTCATCATCAAAATCCTCATCCTCGTCGCCATCGTCCCCGGCCGCATCTCCCCTCGCCGGCCCACCAGCCCGAACCGACATTCCATCCGCATCCACAGACCCCAGTCGCGCCTCCCCACGCAAACTCGCCGCATCCTCCCGCTGCTCTCGCTCCCGCTCCTTCTCGGCTTTACTCTTGCGCCCGCGTTTCCCCTTCTTGGCTGCTCCCAGGAACACCCCGTCCGCGCTCGTGCCGCCCAGACTACCTGTGAAACTGCCCGTCACGCTGCCCGCATCGCTAGTGGCACTGAATGTGCGCTGGTCATTGTCTATACTGGCGGGAAAGGACGTCTGGCGGAGGGGGTGCATGCGTGGTCGTTTTGGGTTGGAGCCGAGAGGTTGAGAGGCGGAGGAGGAGATGGAGGGCCGTTTGAGGGGATTTGTCGGCGTTGGGTGAGGTGGCGGTGATGACATTGTGAGGTGTGATATAGAGAAAGAGTAGACAAAAGAGTCAAGTATATGAGCCCTTGTATGGGCTTTTGGATGTTTGGTTGATGCTCGCCTTGACGGAGATTGCTCGTTGGTTTGATATTCAGTCGGCTGTCTGGCTGACTGTGCTGTTCCTGCTTCTTCCACAGACTTGACCGGGGTAGAAAACAAGGAGAATAAGCGAATGCCTATAATTGCTGTAGTTAATTATTAGAAATTCGCGGTCAAGCTTTGGCGCAGCGAGTCGATGAAAGTTGAGCGTGAAGGTATGCGGCAGCTGCGGTGTGATCCCCAGCAGAAAGAAACTCCGGACCGATCTGGCAGGTCTGCCGATCCGTAATCGATGCCAGTTGGCGCAGGCCATCAACCGGATCAACACATGTTACTAAGATTCCTACTTTTTTTGAACTCGTATACATATTCTAGATAGAAAATATTCGCATACAAATGAAAGAAAGTATGTATACGAATTATAATCAGATGTTCATTGCAAAAGCTTGGGTAGCTCACTGCAAAATCATAAGAGTAAGGGACAGTACAGGGAGAATGAGCTTTGTACACGAAACGAGCGCTCATGTTCTCGACGAATTATCTGCAAGCTCAAATGAGGTGAGCAAAGGCTGTTCAGCGAATAATGGACAGAAGCAAAAAAAAATATGTAGAATGCAACTATTTCCAATCTCAAAAGAATGTCCGACCAAATTCCGCAAGGAAAGATTTCTCAACGTGCTATGGCTTGGTCTTCAAAATTTCTCCTCTCCCAGCCGAGGGGCCCCCCCTTTCCAGTCCAGGCGTTCATAATAGCGGAAGACAAGCTCATAGCCGTCGAGGTCGTGGACAATCCGGTCCACCCGGCGATATCCCTCCACATGCTCCATTTTGGCGGTCCGACGAGCGGCCAGGTACTTGGCTTCCTTCCACTCGTCTTCAACCTGGCTCAGCGCTGGCTTGGCTTCGAAGAGAGTCACGCTGAAGCGGCCAGGCTTGAAGATGTCGACCACTTGCTTGATGATTCCAGCGGTAGTCTGGCCGTTCTGCGAGTGCGGCACGTTGGTCTCAAAGGACGCATACGAGCAATGCGGCTCTGGAGTGACGTGCACCGTGAAGTAGTGGGTTCCAGTCCTTCCCTCAGGAGGCGGAATCACGCCGTTGGCGGAGAAGCCGCATGGTGTGAACAGGTAGGCATCGATGCGCGAATCGGGATACTTCTCCTTAGGATAGACGTCGGAAAGTCCACAGGCTTCAGAAACCACGGTTCCGAGCGCGTGGCCCTCGGTAGTCAATTCCGGAGGCAGAACTCGGCTTCCTTCGGAGTCCAGGTCACTGATATCGGAGGAAGTGTTGCTGAACACATCGACATGGTCACTCTTCTCCGCATCGAAGTTGCGATAACGGGTCTCCGCAACTGCGGTGGCATGCTCGAGGTAGAACTGCTTGGCGTTCTCCTCATCCAGATCGGTCATCAAGACTTCCAAAGTCTCATCCTCAGTATCAGTCTGCAGAGCAGCGCCCTGAGGTACGCTGAGGACCTTGGTCTCCGTTTCCGTAAACTCAGTCTTCGCTCCCGGGCTCGTTGGCGGAGTGAGCATGGTATGAGGTTCGGTCAGGTACAGGTACCAATGCTCGCCGTTCATCTTGCCAATCATATAGGCGCTGCCGTTGAGGAAGAGTCTATCCATAGTCCGGACTTCATCTCTCCAGCTGCGGTGAGGGCCGCGCTGGCGGTCGGGGAACAGGAAGTTCTTGCGGCTGTAGAACACGCGGTAGGGCGCGGCGGCGACGGAGATTCCGCGAGAAGGAGCGGTAGATTTGGGAAAGCCACCGAACAGAGCAGCAATCTCGAGAATGCGTGGCAGACCGGACAGAAGAGTGGTGGTACCACAGGTCTTCAGGATGAGTTTGTGAGGCCAGACGAACATGCTGGACTCGGAGAGCAGGTAGGCGTCCACATCCTCGGACGAGACAATAGAAAGGACCTGGCAATTGACGAGATCCAGCATGTCCTTCCAGATCTCCTCGGGCACAGCCTTCAGACCGGCAGGTTGCGCCGGACCTAATTCCTGAGCGGAAGGCGCGAACCACACCTCCAAGAGTTTCTCTGGACCTATGGACTGTCAGCCTCTGCCCAATGCTGCTTTCAGACACGTCACCAGCGTAGACATACCTTCAAAAGCATTAGTAGAATCAAGATCCTGCGTTGCCTGGTAATTGATCGTCAAGGACGGAGTTCCGGCAAAGGAAGACGGCGAAGCCGTGTAGTTCTTGGGGATGCCGATGTAGACCATTTCCGCTGATTGACGTAATGAATTGTGTGACGTATGCTGGTGCGAGACCGATTATTGAAACGAGGAGCAGCGCAGTGGTGTATATGTAGTTGACCGTAGACACAGAAGCCTAGGAAGCACTATCTGCTGCCCAGACGAACAGGGGGGGCTATGTCCGCCTGAGAGAGAAGGCCCTTTATCGCGATAAAGAGAATGGCACACAGGCCAGATGGACGAAATTCAACACAAGCCCGAAGGGAATGCTAGGGAGGGCGAAAGGACAGGGAGAGGAGGAAAAAGCCTCTTGAAAAAGGAATTGTGACTATATGCCGAGCACCCTCGTACTGGAAGATACCGATACCGGTCAAAGTATCGGGTCTAGCAGACGAGAGTATCTGCTTTTTTGGAAAGAAACGAGAAGATAATTGGAAACGTGGAAGGAAATGACTCTGGACGTGAGTCGTGTTATCGAGGCCTGGAGGAACAATTGAGTCAGTACAGTTGACTGTGTGCCTGACGAGGGGTCATGGCCACGACGCGATCGGTAGCGCCCAGCGCATGAAAATGGCGGCAGAAGGAGAAAGGCTTACTTTGCTGGCTTAGACAAGAATCGCAGCAAGTCCTTTGGGTTCATGGAAGGCAAAGTCAAATCGAGCTCAAAACAGCACGACGTAGCGCGAGGCCACAGCTCTGGACATCTGCAAGAGCAAAGATAGACTGCAAGGTCCGAGAGCGGTCGCCTTTTTATGACGGAAAATTAGAGAACGGCAAAGACAGAGAAGTAACAGTAATAAGACAAGTTTCTCACAATGTCAGGGATATAGAATTGATGAAATTGTTCTCGTCGGGCAGAGTAGGCAGCCGTTGGAGGTTGACGGAGGCTATTATTTATAGAGGACTGTGGGCAGAGCGAAAAAGAGCGGGAGAACGAGAAGGAAGAAAAAAAAGTTGGTTCGTGGGGCGCAACAGACGCTAAGGCTAAGTACTGCGAAGATTGGGCTGGAAGGAAGCAGACTCCAGCCGTCAATCAAGGAAGCCTGAAACGTTGGATTGTTCCTTTGCGACTCAAAGCGTGGATCTCTTGAAGATACTGCAATTGGTGAATTGGAACTCTGCAGAGGGCACACCCAGAATTCGTAGCTGGTCCTTTTGTAACTCGACGCCGGATTTTTCCTCCGTCCGAATTGGGCAGCCAGAGTGAATGCCTGAGGCACCCCACAGACTGTCGCGCGACACAAGGATTCTATGCTGGTTCTGGTAGGCGGTGAGAGCCAATTGACGTGATGACGTCGCCAGTCTCAGTCTGATCAACATATACCAGAGCTACCTCTCTTACTAGAGCTTTGAATGGATGATTCCTTAGGTTTTTGAAGGATCATAAATAATAGACAGAGCTCTAGACAATTACATTGCGCTCTGAATAATTTTCCTATTCTCACTTTCATAAGATCAAGCGAGGAATAACCACAGATGTTTCCCACTTCGTACGCCACGAAAACGCCAAAGTCCCAATGAAATCCTTCCCGCCGCCAAGATGCAAGGCACAGCTGCAATTTTAATGACTCAAAAGAAAACAGATGGATGAGAGAGGAAAAGCAGAGACACAGAAATGAAGCCAAAGTCGGCGGCCGGAAAATGCCTCAAGCTTCGAGAATAGCATAGGCCATCTGCACCTCTCCCGCATCCGCGATCCTGCCTGCGATGATGTCCCCCACTTTGGCGTTTAGTCGCTCGCGGAGCTCCTCGGCCACATTGGCACCGTGCCCGTTGGCCAGATTCTTACGGCCCTCCCGCAAGGTGGAGAGGACGGCCAACAGTGCGCCCAGCACCTTTTCGGCCTCCGGTCGTCGAGGGTTGTCTTCTGCCATGCCGTCCGCGAGAAGGCTCGCGTAAGTTGACAGATTGGGAAGTATCAAGACTCGAACAGCCTCGGCGCCACCGACGGCATTCAAGCCAATAATCGCACCATAGTGCGCTCCAAATGGCTTTGACGGATCAAGGAAAGTCTTGAGACAGGAGCGGGCGAGTCGAGGTGTAAGTGTATGCGATGAGTGAGAGTATTTCTTGGAGATGAGGCCGAGGAGTGAAGCAGCCAGGTCGCGCAGAGCAAACTGTCCTGATAAGTCTGCATTGCCGCCGAGCTGTCTGCCGATCAGGCAGGTCAGAATGGGAGGAACAAGGGATGCAATCTAGTTCGAATTAGCAGACAGTCCCATGAAAAGCACTTCAAGAAGAGTAACCGTACATAAGGATCCACATATAGTGATTTGTTCTGCACCAGGGCCTCTGCCATGTGCATGACCTGCGTCAGCACAAAAATATCCTTGAGCCCGTGCGTCACCTTTTCTGAGATGAACTGCACAAAGTACGGCACAAGCTGATGCAGTCCCGGATCCTCGCGCAGACTGGCATAGCCCGACGTCCGGTATTCCTCGCTTGACTCATCCAGAAAAGCGTTGCAGACTTTCTCGAAGTAGAGCTGAAGTTCCTTGGACAGCACATGCTTAACCAGCGGCTTAACAGCCACATTCCCTGTGCCGCTCATCGCCGCCAACGTCGAGTTGGCATTGGGCCCCTTGGCAGTCAATTCGAGGTTTCTCGAGTCGGCAGCGGTAGGATTCTGCGGAATGGACGGCTGCACACCTTCAACAGCCAACCAATGAGCTGTACAGTAAACGAGTTAGCATAAGACACAGACCTAAAACGACCGCTTGCAGAGGA